AAATTTCTGCCTAAAAAGTTTAAATGAAAAGGGAAATAAATCAACACAATATCTATTATTTTGTTAACCTAAAACTAAAAATAGGAAAAAGGGAACCATCACAAAAACCATCGCATGTATTATTTTGTTAACCTAACAAAAGAGGAAAAAGAAAAACATCACAAAAACCAGCGTGTTTTTTTTGTTAACACTATATCACTATTTATTTAATGATTTTAGAGGGAAAATATGATTTTAGAGGTAAAATAATGATTTTAGCGGGTATTTAATGATTTTAGAGGAAAAATAATGATTTTGGCTGGTATTTAATGATTTTGGAGGGAAAATAATGATTTTGGCGGGAAATCATAAAAAGGTTATTCTTTTAATATAATGATAGATAGTTAAATCAAGTGAGGAATTACAAAATTGAAATATTATTAGTTACAGGTTTACTGCAGATGAAAAAATGTGCATTCACCTTATTTGACCATTGTAAACAATATTAGTTAATGATTATAAATTAAAGATAAGGTTAAATAATATTAATTAATAATTATAAATTAAAAATGTGAACTTAATATGTAATATAATTTATCGTATATGAGTTGTAAACAATCTATAATTATCTTGTATAAAAGAATTTAAAAAAAATGTATGTTTAAAGTATTAAAAACGTCTGAAATATTATATAACATATGTAAAAGTATCTAAAATTTTAAATATCATTATTGAAAGATGTGGAGTCATTTAAAATTTTTTTAAACTATTTTATAAAAAAAAACATGCCTAAAACTATTTATATTTGACATATGTATATGTGTATGTAATGTATACATAGATAGAATCTATCATTATATAAAAAGAATAACTTTTTTACAAATTTAGAAACTTTTTCCCGCCAAAATCATTAAATATATCCTACATATAGTAATTGTTGAACAAATCTGAATAGGCAAAAAAATCGGCTCATTAATTGTGTAAAGATTTGTTTCTCTTTTTCCTGTTTTTTAGTTTATCAAAACCGTTGTTTGACAATAAATATTTGTTTTTCTTTTTCCTATTTTTAGTATAAATCTACACGAGCTTATCTCTTCTGTTAGAAAATCTCATTGCACACATCTCACGTGTTTAAAAAATCTCATCCCTTATCTATACAGATTTGAAAAAATAAAATAAAAATCAATTCATAATTACTACTAGAAATTCATAATCTTTAAAAAGAAAAAATAAAATAAAATAGAAACCAATTCATAATTACTACTATAAATCCATTATCTACTTTAAGAAGTTAATTTTCAACGGACTAATTACTAATATTTTTACAAATATTATAAGCTAATCATATAAAAAATATAATAATAATTTTGAAATGGTGTGTAATCAAATTTTTTTATTCTCTTATACAAAATAATTTTACATTGTTTGACCACAAATCTTTAATTTATAATTATTATGTATTGTTTATCCTCCTCTTTAATTTATAATTATTTTTTTTTTCTTCCTCTTTTTAAATAGGATCAATAGTAGTTTCCACTTCCGCCATTGAGTGCCTCAAACTCGAGGTCTATTTATAATATTGTTAATTTAATATTGTTCTCGTGCATCGCACGGGGTATACACTAGTGTGTACAAAATTATCTAAATGTTTAAAATTATATAAAATATTATGAGTCTAATAAGAGATATTGTCTCGCGTAGACAGCTAATTTTTTTATATAGTAGATATCCTAAAAAAATTTTATTAGACAATTGCTCGGACTTATATTTTGGAGAATTGCTTTTTTATATAATAGATACCCAAAAAAATTTTATTAGACAATAACTCGACTTATATTTTGGAGAATTGATTGAGCAAGGTATTCAAGATTTTAAATAAAATCCGCATGGAGTTTTGGAGAGGCCCATTTTTTTCTTATTATTAAATAACGGCTGAGATTTAATCTATAAGATTCTTTAATTTGTGAATGATTGAAAATCAAAATCCGTGGTATTATTATTTCTTAATATAAAATAAGTGTTATATTAAAGAGAATTAATGGGATAAGATTTTTTAATGGGATAAGATTTTCTAACACAAAATCAAGTCAATTACAAAATAACAACATCCCAAAAATCTTGTAAAGCATTAATTGCATGGGGAAGCTTTAAAAAAAATATTTATTACCATTAATGACAAGTAATTAGTGCAAAACTTGTTGACTAAGATTTTGACTTACCATTTTTAAAAAATGGTAATTCTTATTATATATATAAAGGTATAGATTGCCTTATTGGTTAAGTGCATTGACAAGATTTTACTTTTCAAGTTTCAAGTAGGATGCTTCAAGCATTAGTTCTTCTAGTTTGAAAATTGCCACTTTTTTTGACATATTTTTTATACATTTGAGATAAAATGATATATATATTAAAGATGTTGTATTGTAACCACATGTATGTCATTCTTTATGTTCATGTAGCATGACTTCCTAAATTAGTAAATTTTACTCAAATTGGAAAAAAATGAATTTTATATATTTTATTATTTAGTACTTACATAAAAAAAAAATAAAAAATAAAAAAAACAACAAAAAAACAAAAAAAAGAACAGAAAAAGTTAGCAAACATCATGGACAGGGGCTGATTTCATTATTGTTTTTGGGTAAAATTTTTTTACCCTAGATATACTATCTTTTCGCTTTTGGTATTCGTAGTTTCAATTTAATTAAATTTGGTCAGTATAGTTTTCAAAATTAATCACTTATAATCCAAATATTAAAAAGATGTTAAATTTGATGGTTGCTCGCCCCGCCGCCTCCGATGACGAATTTCAGCAAACTATATACTTAAAACACTCGGCTCGGCCTATCAAATTTAAATTTTATTTATTGTACGATATCTTGAAATTGGTCAAAATCTGTTAAAGATTCAAAAACATTATGGATGAAATACGTCTTAAAATTTATCTGAGTTTTGCTAAAGATTCAACTGTTAGATTTTCATAAAAAAATATGTGTAGACAATTTCTTGAGGAATCCAAAGGTGTAGCCCACAACCGATGAAGTTTACAGTTTTCTTGGTCGCTGCAATTTGCTGAAAAACTAAAAATTCATCGGCTTATATGCGATAATCGCGAGACTCGATTGATAATCGGATTACACCGTTGGATTCCTCAAGAATTAGGTTTTCTATACATATATTTTTCATGAAAATTCCATGGTTGGATTTTTAGCAGAACATGGTCAAAGTTTAAGGTGTATTTCATTCAAAAATATTTTTAATCTTTAACGATTATGTTAACGAACTTTGAGATATCATATAATGAAATAAAAAGGTACAAGATGAAGTTGAGACTTGAAAGCTTTAAAATCGTATATGATTTGATGAAATTCATCACAGTGGCGGCCATCAAATTTAACTATTTTTGTAACATTTGGACCAAAGGCAATTGATTTTGAAGATTTTATTAGTGACTAAAACTAATTAAGTTGAAACTTCGAATACTAATTGGGATATTTTTCACTTTTTTTTTTTGGTCACATCATGTTAGAATTGAATATATTCATTGGGATTGTTTTCCTTTTTCTTTTGATCAGATCATGTTAGAATTGAATATATTCATGCACTATACCAAAGTATATTCCTCAGCTATAAATCATAAAAAATTGAGAAAATTTCCCAAACTATTCATTATTATCAGAATGACCCCACAAAAGAACTTAATCCACCAAATAGTCAAATACCATCGTCTTGCTACTTGCTGATTGCTCCATGTGTTGTTCATGGCAGAGCATATACCACTCTTCACTTCCCAATTATTCCTATATTCCTGCTCCAGAAAAGAATATACCTTCGGATTTTGNTAACGAAAAACAAAAAAAAAAAACAAAAGCCCACCAAAACTCTCTTTCTGCCATGTACCAAGAATGCGCTAAACTAAGCGGTATATCATATTAACTTGTTCTCTCTCCACACCTTCATTTTCTCCCTCTACTTTTTATTCACCTTGCTCCTTGTCATGTGAGCCCAATTCCACATTATTTGCTTCCATAAATTCTTGCTTTTTTTCATCTGGATCAAGAAGAAAAGAACCCTTTTGTCCAGTCTGTGTAAAGACTAAACCTTTGAAGTCCAAAAGGGTTTTAGAGTTGAAATCAAGATCCTTTGATGCTGAAAGACACCTTTTTGCAGCTGACAGAAGTAGAAAAATGACTATTACTATAAAATGTATAGAAGAAAAGGAGCCTTTGCTTGATACCGAGATGAACTCAGGGCCCAAGCGTATAGCTCTCTTTGTTGAGCCATCTCCCTTTGCGTGAGTTTTTCTCTTTATTTGTTAATGCTAAAAAACGTTTGACATTTATTTGGTGTTTCACGAATGGCATGTATGTCTTCTATCTGTTTGATGAAATGACCTCTTGTCACTGTGTTGTCGAAGTAAGGATTTTTTACTATTTTTAATTTGATATGTCATGCCATTGAGATTGAAGATTGATATTTCTCCTTCTTGAGATAATTTTATTAAAGAAATCGATTTACATTAGTTGGTCGATCACTTGATCGGTTTTGACTTGTTAATAATAAACTTGGTCTTGTTAGAACTGTTGATAAGTCTTGCCATTTGGACACTCTAATTACCTATTATTATCACTCACTGCATGGTATCATTTTTACCTGCAACATTTTATTTCTTTAATATGGTAAAATAATATATATATATATATATATATTTTTGGATACTTGTATATTTTTTTGGAATTTTGTGCAGTTATGTCTCTGGATATAAAAACCGGTTCCAGAATTTCATCAAGTATTTACGTGAAATGGGGGATGAGGTATATTTGTATCACGTATTTTTGAGTTTACAGTTTTCTGTTTTAGGCTGAGTGTGATTTAGTTTCATTTTTGTATAATATGGTAGTTTTACTCGACCGGAATGTGAAACTAGAATGTATACGGTAGGTTTAGTTTTACTGTCAGATGGCCTCAAATCATAACGATTCATATTTAGAGTAAAATGAATTAAAGACACACTTCTCCATGTAGCCATCCACATTTTTTCAGAAAAAGTATACTTTTCAACTTAAAAGTAGGAAAATACATTAAGGAGTATGACTGTATGACCATGTGATGTAAGAGACAAACGTTGGACTTTTCAACTTGTGTTATTTCATATTTTTTCCCCTTGACTAGTAGTGTTCGTTTATCAATACTAACGAGCCGAACTCACGCTTTAACGAGCTGAACTATAGAAAATCATATAAAAAATCACCTTTTCGAGCCTTATCTCGTTTCTTTTAGCAGCTCTACCCTTGACACAATTTTCTTGATTCGATTGCTGTTTTGGGTGTGGATTATATAGGTCCTAGTTGTAACGACTCATGAAGGAATACCTCAAGAGTTTTATGGAGCTCATTTGATTGGATCAAGAAGGTTAGTTAGTTTTTGAGCTATTGTCATGTCAAATGGACGATAAGTCGATAATGTCCTGATAAATAGCAAATTAAAATCATATCAATGTATAGCGAGAATTACCGTCGTCTGATGAAAGCGTGCCTTTCGCAGCTTCCCTTGTCCGTATTACGAAAAGGTACCTCTTTCACTTGCCCTCAGCCCAAGAATAATTTCGACCGTGGCCCAATTCAAGCCTGATATTATACATGCATCATCTCCTGGCATTATGGTAAATTGTTTTTTAACCTCTGCTCCTTTTAATTACTTATTATTTCAGGGAGTAAAAACCTTGTCAAGAAATTATACACATATCTACTTTTTTTTTTTCCCTACATGTAATGCAGGTTTTTGGAGCTCTTGCCATCGCAAAATTACTATCTGTGCCTATAGTGATGTCATATCACACCCATGTTCCTGTGTATGTTCGATTAATTTCCAATTGATCGCTGATATGTTTATTTATTTGTGTTTTTCTTTGTTTTAGGATTTCTTGCTGATTGAAGTTCATATATTACAGATATATCCCTAGATACACTTTCAGTTGGCTGGTTAAACCGATGTGGTTAATCATAAGTATGCTCGGTTTATTATCTCCTCTTTTATCACTTAATATTATGATCATATGATTGAATAATCTTTCGCCAGAGTTTCTGCATAGGGCTGCTGATCTTACACTCGTCCCGTCTGCTGCCATTGGAAAAGATCTTGAAGCAGCTAACGCAACTTCAGGTGAGATTTTAATTTGCCTTTGGCCCTCTTTTTCCTAAAAAAGATTTAAGGGAATATCAATATCCTCACGTTGTTCGGTTATTCTACGGCTTAAAAGATCTCACGAATAATATATAGTAGTTTTCAGCAAACAGGATACGTGTCTGGAACAAAGGTGTAGATTCCGAGAGCTTCCATCCTCGGTTTTTCTCCCGAGAAATGAGATCACGATTGAGGTGTGGAACTAAAGTTATATATCACTCTTTATAATTTATCTCAACTTGCATTGATCAAATTCTAATATTTTATTGACAAAGTCATGTTTTTTAAAATTAAGCAATGGAGAAACCGATAAGCCATTGATAGTTCACGTAGATCGTCTTGGAGTCGAGAAGAGTTTGGATTTCCTAAAGAGGTAAACTTTTTTTTTTTTTTTTTCTTAAAATGTTTAATGTTGAGTACCTTAATTCGGGATTAATTGCCATTAACGTCGTTCTTGGAACAGAGTAATGGATAGGCTTCCAGAAGCTCGAATAGCTTTCATTGGTGACGGACTTACAGGTGAGTCGTCCGAAACACACTTGTCCATATTTTTAACACGACGTTACCTCGATTAATACTTTAAGGTAGTTATATAGTAATTTGTTGTCATTTTATCTGTAATAATCCGTTTTTTTTACAGGATCGAGCTCGAGAAGATATTCTCGGGCATGCCAGCTGTATTCACCGGCATGCTTCAAGGAGAGGAGCTTTCGCAAGCGTACGCTAGCGGGGACGTTTTCGTCACGCCCTCCGAATCGGAGACTCTCGGGCTCGTCGTCTTGGAAGCCATGTCATCCGGGCTGCCCGTGGTTGCCACTCGGGCAGGTGGCATCCCGGATATCATACCCGAGAGTCACGAAGGAAAAACAGGATTCTTGTTCTGCCCAGGTGACATGGACGACTGCGTGAGAAAGCTGAGGCCCCTTCTGCACGACCAGGATTTAAGTCGGGCAGTCGAGCGGGCTGCCCGTGCTGAGGTGGAGAAATACGATTGGAGGGCGGCCACTAGGAAGATCAGAGACGAGCAGTATAGTGACGTGATCCGGTTATGGAGGAAAGAGAGGGAAGAGTTCTTGAGACCGTTTAGGTGGTTGTTCGGGGGAGTTGGTTTTCGGGCCTCGTCGATTGGGGCGTGACGACTTTCGGGTTTTTCGCTTGTTTGTTTGGTGGCAGAAATGATTTTTAGTTCTGTTGTTTGACGTCATAGCAATTTTAGTTTCAATGTTCCAACTTTTCGCCTTTTGGTCATGTGATTTTAATATTTTGCTGCAATTTGCAGCAAAATATTAAATTGTAAGACGGGAATCACAACAAAATTTTTAAATCATAGGATCGAAAGGCGAAATGTTAGAATCTCTGGACTAAAATGATTATGACGTTAAACCAACATGACTAAAAATGCAATTTAGCATTGTTTGGTTTAAGTTGTGTTGTTGCTAGTTGTTGATTGTGTCTTGTTTGGTTTATGTTGTGTTGCTGCTAGTTGTTGATTTTGTTGACTGATGGTTCAAAGTGTCAAAGAGGACTGCTACTGAAGATTAAGGTTTGGTTGGGGAATTGTTTGTCGTTAATATGATTACTAGTTCAAACATATGTGGAGTATTGTATTTATAACTTGTTGAAATGTGATTCTATAGTGAATCTTTGAGTTGATAAACATAGGATCAGTGAATCTTTCTATTAAAGACCATATATTGAAGGAGGCTTCCAATATCATAAAATATTGTAATTGAACATATTGCATAAACCTTGCACAATGTTTACACAAATCAATCCAAAAAGAAAAAAAAAAAATTAAAAATCTTATACTATATGTATATAATTGTTGACTTCATCTCAAGTAAAAAATCTTATTCACTCGAGAAACAAATAAAACTTTCACCTCAATACACACATAAACACTATCTTTTTTTCTCCTATAGACATTATTGGGGGACCCACCCTTATCTCTTTCTTGTTTGCTCATGAAAAATCTCCCTCCCATTTTTGCAGCTGAAACTCAAAAGTCAAAAGCCAGAAGAAGTCAAATTTAAAGTCAACATGTAGGCAAGTCTTTAGGAGGTGGCAAAATTGACTCATTAGGGCCCTTCCCATTGTCAACCAAGAAAGCCATTTTTAGCCCCCATGTTGTGTGCACCTCCAAATGACAATGCATAAACCATACTCCTACAAAAAAAATTATAAAAAATATTAGGTTAAGATACTCTATTTTATAATGCATAAACCAAATCACCTACCAGACTCGTTTAATTTAACAGCACTAATTTAAATAATCAAATCGATTAAAGAAACTCAGGTCTGGAAATTGAACCTGGATTATCCGCGCGGAATCTGATAGCCGCCCACCCGCCAGACGGCACCCCAACTGTGTTCCTCTCCACCGGGTCGACCAGATTAAACTTCTTCGGGTCGGTTTTCGGGTCGAAATTACCCGATCCTCTCCCGACCACAAAAAAATTGAACCCATGCAGATGAATCGGGTGGTTTTCCGGCGCAATAATCCCAGTGTCCTGCAATACAACTTGAACCGTGGCATTGTACGGCAACCGGTAAAGCTTCGTACCTTTAACCGTACCCATATTCGCCGGTGGTGCTCCAGTGTAGTTAAACGGGTCGGGCGGGCTTCCCGGAAAGTCCGTCGTGAAAACCCCTTTGACCCCGAAAAAGTGCGCTTGGAGGAGCGCGATTTTCGGCATCACGAACGTCACGTTGTTGACCGAAGCAACGACTCGACTTCCGTTGGCCGGTTTGCACGACGGGCACGGGTCGATTCCGAGCCCGACGGTGAAGAGTAAGGATCGGTCGACCGGAGACCTCGGGACCCGCGCGGGGTATTGGTCCGAGTCGAGGCTCCGGAGGGAGTCCGTGAAGGCTCCGGCGACGGCGGTGGAGTTCGCCGGCGGGAGGGTGGCGGCGACGGGGGCGGCGGCCGACGAGAGGGTGCCGGTGTAGTGGAGAGTGGCGGTGGCGGGGACTTTGTCGATGGCCACAATGGGGGTGTCCATGAACGGGGAGGCTGCCACGGTGTAGCGGCCGGAGGTCCGGCCGGCGGTGAGGACGGCGGAGGTGGTCTGGCCGGGGGCGACGAGGATGGTGTCGGTGTGGAAGGGCTTGACGTAGGTGGCGTCGACCTCGACCACCGTGAGTTTGTGGCCGGCGATGGTGAAGAAGAGTTCCTCGTTCAGGGCGGCGTTGATGAGGCGGAGGAGGTAGGTTTTGCCGGCGGCGACGCCGAGTGTGTAGCTGTCTGAAAATTTTGGTAAATGATATTTTTTAGAACGAGTTTTAATATAACCGATGTAAAAAGTGAGGACGGATGATTTTAATTTTGATTGTGAGAACTGATAACAAATGTTCTCTTTTATAACAGGTCCATTTAAGATTATTTATGCCCGTGATAAATTGGTAAAATTTTGTTGTTTAGTTATCATAACACGTGGTTATCCACCTGATATAATTACATAATAAACATGTTTAGTATTCAATAAATCTTGTGATTTTAATTTTTTTACCCGTGGAAGAACAATTAGGGACCGGCCCCGGATGGCCGTTGATCGTGTGAGCATCGGAAACGTTGGGCGCCAAGCCGGACTTTATAGCCTCGTTGATGACAGCTTCGGTGTCCGATTTCCACCATTCACCTTAATTATTCAAAAACATAAAAATAATAATAATAAGTATAATGTATGTTGCACACATGGTAATATCACTATTCTACATGTCACAACTTAATTAAAAAAAAGGGCAAATTACAGTTTTGGTTCTCTAACTTCTAGTATTTCCCATTTTTATCCAATAATTTATTGAGGTCTGATAGTGGTTAAATTTGGTCTAATTTTGATTCTAAAAGCCGGAAATCGATTGTTATTTAGTTCAAAATTGGTCCAATAACTCTTAAATTTTAGTCAATTTAGTCCAAAATTAGTTCGATAACTCCTGAATTTAAGAGTTATTGGACCAATATCAGACTTCCATAAGTTATTAGACAAAAGTGGAAAACACTCTAAGTTAGTGGACTAAAACTGTAATTTTTTCCAAAAATAAAAAATAAAAAATTGGGACATTCTTATAGCTCGGTTTACCTAAGATTATGACTCTTTCGTGGTCGGGTTTCGGAAAAGGGAAAGGAACCCCACGCTTGGGCAGGATGACGATTGCGCCGTGCAGTGTGGCCCTCAACCAGAGAATATGCGCGTGCCAGAAGAGTGTACCCCTCTGACCTGTGATTGTATAATTATAAACATAGCTCTGTCCCGGCTGAATAGGGCATTGTGTGATGTATGCGGGTCCATCAGCCCACCCGGTTCGGAGTTGTCGAATTCCGTGCCTAAATATAATCATCACCGTAATTAATCTCACGGATTTTATCCACTTTAACGAACATATTTATTTATCATCATACATAATAATCATCGATCGATCGTGTATAAGGGTGCTTACCAATGGATCGAGACATTGTACTTGACGTGATTGACAACCTTGATTAGCAATGTGTCGTCTTCCCTTGCATAAATGGTGGGACCCGGAAATTTACCGTTGACCGTTACAATGGGTTTTGTAGAGCATAATCGAGTCGTATTTTTCATTACCACCTGGATTGAAAAAAAAAAAAAAGTTAGCTGAATGTAGTTCATGACAAGGTAAATTCGACTCTATCAGTGAGGGCACTGTGCTCAGATGGATTTTTTCCAAATTTAGGTAATATGGCTAGTAGACAAAGACATATTTTTTTTGTTAATTGTTCCTAAGAAAGTGGACTATTAAACTAATGTGGGTGAAAGTTAGTCATTATCATGTTTAAAGGCACAGAAAAAATCATGAAATGGAATTTTTGGTGTACCTTCCATTTTTAGTTTATGGTTAGTTTACAATAGTGACTTGTTACTTAGGGGAAACTTGATGCAATTCAGGCCAACAAATTCAGCTAATTGAATATTTTAAGTGGCAGTAGTTGTGAAATCAATCTCTGAATTGGCATTTGCAAGCTAATATTTCTAGCCACATTATAACTTTATTTGACTATATATTTTGTGTGGTTAATTATGCAATGAATTTAAGTATTTAGATAATAAGCTACCTCAAAGTCTCTAGCTAGCAAGTAATAATAAACGAAATAAATTATTGAGAAGAGTTAATTAAATACAAAAAAAAAAATGATAAACTTGGGGTGATTATAAAGAACTTTTATTATAAAGAGAGCTTGATGAATATTAAAATATTTAGAGAAATAGAACTTTCATAGTAGCCAGCTTGCATGGAATATTAGAGCGCACTGCATTGACCAAAAAACTAACAATCTACTTTAGAATTTGATAAAGTAAAACATCAATGTAAATGCTTACATGATTGTTTGAAATTTTTGAAAATTGTTTTACATGATCTTCTCTAAATTTGAAGTGCACTCAGCTCAATGTAAATGCAACTATATAGCTATAAATATGTGCATACTCAGTTATACTCGTTAAACTATATATATATATAATTAAACTCAAACTTGAATCTGCTAAACAAAGAAAAGTGATTAAGAAAATAAATAAATAACAAAAATAACACAATATCAAATTCTTGNAAAAAAAAAAAAAAAAAAAAATTATAAATTCTTGAATGTACGTACGTAGAATATAACACAGAAAAGAACTTGGAGACTTACATTAAATTTGTAATGGCGAACTCTGCATTCTACCAACACAGGAAACAAACACGCAATGAGGATCAAAACCCTAGCCCAAGGATCCATATTTTTAAATTTTTTTTTCTGTCTAATAATTTGTGTGTATTTTGAAGAACTCAATTTTGTTCTTCAATAGAGTGATTTCAAGTATATTGTGATAATGTTAGATGATTAGCCAACTCAAACATTAATATATATATATAAAAATGTGTGAAGGTGATAAGTGAAATTGCTGCCATAACGTCGTTTTTCCTTCGTTTGGTGGAACCATAAATCCTTCGGGCATAAGATATCTTATCCAAAAACTATGGTCTTCTACTTTCTTTTCTTACTTGTTACATAAAGTATGTATTTTATTTTACATAGTTATTTATTCATTGATTAATTATAGTCAGTTTGTATGAACATATTATAATTCCTATTGTAATTGTTATATTATATTAGTAGTAGTAGTAGTAATACAATATTCGATTGTGTATATATGAAAATCGTTGTAAGATATTGATTTTGATATATAGTCTCGCTTGTTTTAGTACAACATCAATGTGCAATTGTGCATTAAATTGCTGAGAGATAAATCATATAACTAGTATATTATATATGAAAATTTGATACAAAAATAAAATTGTTAAGTTTTAAAACATATTTGTAATTTAATTTGACTTGGTGTTTTATAATTTTAACACATAGATGAAAGTTCAAATCTATGTGGAGTGTGGACTACCTCTAAAAACTAATATATAAAATTACGAAACACGAGAAAATATTTCATGCACTTATGACCAATTAAATTAAGTTACGCTTATTTGAAAATTTAATTTGTGTAGCTTAAGATGTCGGCTGTTGGAAAAGGTTTAATTATATCAATTTTTGTTTTGGTCAATATAGGATTAATTTAATTTTCAGTCGAGATTTTCCTTTTCTCTTTCCCATAAGTAATCAATTGTACATAATTTGCTTGTATGTAATATGTAAGCGGTTTTAACAACGCAATTTTTGTGATGATCAGACAGAAATAATTGACAATTTTAATTAAGATTGTGAAAAGATGTTTGGTTTCATATGGCTAATCTTGTGTTACTTATTGGTTAATTGGTGTTGCTAAAAGAATAAACAGAAAGAAAAAGAGATTGATTTCCTTAATGAGTCAATTGACCTAATAATTACTTGNAATGTTTTCCAAAATTATATTTAAACACCATGGAGTACTCCAAATAATAATGATAATAATAATAATAATAGTAATAATAATAATATAATAATAATAGTTTATTTTTATTCACTTTTAGGAAATCACTTCCATATTTTTGGCAGGTAATTCATTTTATTATTATTATTATTTTATGCATAAATTAACACGTTACGACGACATAATTTTTAATTAATTTGTGAAACAGTTGATCTTGTGTTAGGCTGATCTAATCATCTGACCGACGTACTCTTTTTAATAAATATGCATACATTTACTAATGTCATATTTTAATATATAAAATAAACAAAATATGTCATTTGATGAGGTAACTATGTATTTTTTCACTTCGTATAATGAATCAATCACCTAACGATTTCAATAATTTGCGTTTATGAAATACTAGCACGTAGCCCGTGCGATGCACGGGACATAAGTATTAATGAGTTATTTCCACAGAACTTGTTCGTTAAGTAGCTCGTGCGATTCACGGGAGATATTAGATGAGTGGACCATATGGCTTGTCCGTTCAGGCCTAATAAATATTAGAGTTTGATCATCTATCTTTTTACATCTTTTCATCAACGTCATTTTTTTTGTTGGAACATTAAACCTGAGTCTGGTAACGTTAGCACGTAAATTAATTAATATATTATCTCGCTCACATGTTTATAATAATATAAATTTGATTTCATTATATATATTTATTCATTGATATAAGAAAAATAATAATTTTACGTAATCTTGTTTCTCGTATAATACTTATATTATTTCATTATAAAATTTATTGTAGTATAATGTCATTATTATTATAAGTTACAGATGTAATCTTCTTCTTCCTTTTGTTTTATGTAATTAAAATATTTAATGTATGTTCATATTATTTATTAATGTAATTAATTTAAATTATGTAAATAAATTTAAAGTAAAACATTTTGTACAAACATTTTACAAAATATACACAAATGTTTTTTTAGAATTTAATTTTTTTACAATAAATAACAGCTTTGAAATTCTATGCAATTATTAAAATCGATTAAATCTGCTTTATTAAAGCTGATTAAATCTTTATTTATAGGCTTGACATTAAAACCGATTTTATGAGATTTTTTTAACTAAACCGATGTTATGGAATAAAACAAATCTATACTTACATTTGACTTTTCCAGCAAAGGTAAAAAAATGGGTTCTGATTTTTAACCCATAACAAATCTTTAATGTCAAGCTATAAATACCAAAACAAATTTGTAATTAATGTCATTCTATTTCCAGCAAACATTAATTACCTTTGACTTTTCTTTATACTAAATCTGGTAAATGGGATACTTTTTAATATAAGTATAGATATGGAAACCTAATTAATGCAAGAGTACTATTTAAGTTTACTTCAAAATCCGTAGTTAGAGGAGGCCTTTCACGTACATATCAGTAGCTAATGGCCAGCCATAATTGAATTGTTTGAAAGCTAAGATTATAACAGCACTATATTGTCTACCCCTTAACAAACAATTCAGGATGATGGAGTATTGATTTTACTAACAAAAAAATATTAATATTCGATGTTCCTATTATTAGTCAACCAATTGGGAATAAGTATATAAAAATCAATTTTTTATGTTTGACATTCCTATTTAACCGTGAGAATCTAGAAAGTGGCTTAATCTGATTTAGATAGATAGGGATTTAAATTTGGTGGAGTGGGTATGTTCCATTTTCAGGATTGTTACAAGTTGCAACCAATTTTACCTTTTTAGTTGAAATAAGGTGCACTTTTGTTAGTTTCTAGTTTCTATGGACTATTCTATATCTTAATTAGAGAGAAAAAAAATTGAAGGTTAAGTTGATAATTGATATTCAAAAGGCATATATCCATCATGTTTAACACAAAACTGTAACATTAAGTGACTAATAGTGTAATTAATTGCTACATTTTTGTCACATTTAAAACTTTATATACATATATGTGTTACTGTATACACACAAATTCTTGTGTGGGACGGTCTTACCGTCAGATGGAACTGATCGGTTTACAATATGTCAGTTCTTAAAATATAATTTTCAGTTAAAAGTATTATACAGAATATAAACCGAATGTACGGAATTAAGATTAAATAAAAAGTCTATTCGGGTTCGTGTAGATGAATATGATAAGAACGACTGAAAACGGACCGTATGTGAAGGGTGAACAAGCGAACTCGAGATAGCGTGCTCGACCAGCGCCAATTATTACTAGGATTTGTCCATACGATACGCATTAAATGTTGAGGGATCCGGTAATCATCCATCTAAGGGTTAACACCAAGCAGGGACACGTGTCGCGATCCGGTTTCATCATTTGTATTGAGATTAGACTAGGGAGCGCAAGACATTAAATGTGGTGTGACTAAAATATCTATAAGATATCTTGCAAAATAAAATGAAAAACGAAAATCCCAAAGAAGATTGTAAAGACCCCACATGTCTTATGAAAAGAGAAAGAGGCAATATTAAATGCAATAAGTAAATGCTCTCATTAATGATATAAAAGTCACTGATAGAATATCAATTCGTACCAGATTCAATACTAAATTATAATCGTGTAGACCGAACCGAGTATACAGTTCGAAACATTGTTGGTCATATTTTAGACATCAACGAGTATATATACACAATTGTTGAAAACATTTGTCCTAACCATTAGGCTACCTTACTTATATGCATTACCATAAGCTATTATACTTAGAATATTATAAAAGTGGTCACGCAATTCTGGACGTGTCGAAACTAATTTTATTGGAGTTCGATTAATCAGTAACAGTTTTATATTTTTTACAATTGACTAAGGTGACGGTAGTTTCGGTTGAAAATCGAAATTTTGACCAAAAATTTAATGAGAAATCTGTGCATACATATCGATTTTTCTACTGAAGTTTGAATTATAGTGAAATATGGTTCGGTCTGAAATCCAAACTAGTACAGAGCCCGTGCGATGCACAGACTGCACAATTTTAAGGCTATTTATCCAGGCTTATAATTATATACATGAATAAAGAAAAATGTACGAGATATATATAGTACGTGACCCGTGCGAAGTACGAGATATATTTATTTGGAGAATATTATATTATAATAATGCAATATTCAATAAAAGTTTATAATACGCAAGAAAATTGTACAATGTTCAATAAAAGTTTTATAATATTTAAGTGGAGTCTTAAAGTCTCTTGTACATTAAGAATACTGACAAAATAATATTTTAATCAATGAGTTTACTTTCCTTGTAGCCAAATTGTGAATGTGATTTGAGAAGTACAACAAATCGATATATAACTGACTTGCTTTTTTCATTGTAGTTTTTTTTCTTTTTTTTTTATAATGAATTTAAAGATATTCTAAAATATAGCAAAAATTATTTTTTTTATTAAAATTAGGAATTTTACTAAATATAAACTCTCAATCTATGGTGTTAATCAACGTTTAAGTTTAAAAAATTAGGAATTTTTACCTCTTTTAATCAACGTTTAAGTCTAAAAAAAATAGAGTTATTATAAGTTTTTTTTTCTACATCTTTTAAAACATTAAATATGAGCATGTTAGGGCTAGCTTGTAAAATAATTAATATATTATCTCACTAAAACATTTATACTAATAAAAATTTAATTTTAGCATATAAATTTATCTCTTGATATAAGAGAAAGTAACAGTTTTACTTATTGTTGTTCACCATATAATATTTAATTATTATTNTNTNNT